CCCCGCCCCCTTTCGCCCCCCAGCCAAAACGGATCGCCCACCCTCCGGAGCGCTCCCACACGCTTCGCCCCGAGCTCGGCCTCTAGAAAATGGGAGAAATCTTCCCGCAGCCCCCCCGAGCCATTGGGAAAGAGGCTGTGGAGCTATGTGACAATCGAGGACAGTTTCAGGTGTCCTCCCACACAGGACGAGTGGAGGGCAACGTGACGGGGGGGAGGAAGGAAAAACAAAAAACAACCGAACCAAAACCCCAAACCAGCTGATAACAGAAGCATGAGATGAGGAAGGGAGGAAGGAAGGGGCCCCTGGAAAACAGCTCTGCCGTTGCCTTTGCTGCAAAACCCTCGCTGGGGCACTACGGCAGCGCTGACCCACTTCGGCGTCGTCCCGACTCGCTGCTCGAGAAGCGATGAGAAAGCCGGAAAACCGGTCGCCCGAGAGCCATGGCTGCGGCGCGGGGGACGTCAGAGGAGTCCTCGCAGCCGCCCTCGAGGTGGGGGAACAGGTCTGGGGAGAGCTGAGTTCTTCTTTTACCTCCTAGCCCGAAACCTAACCCTCGACAGCACAGGAATTGGCAGCTAAAGATATATATATTTTTTTCCTCCCTTTTCGACTTTGCCTGCTTGCTCAGTTTTGCTTTTATAATAGAATCGCACATCCCCCAAAACAGAACAGAGCAGGCCTATAAATTACATGGCTATAATGCAATATTTATAGGTCTCCCGCAGAGGTCCCAGTAAGCTTTTATCTTCCGTGCCGGCACAGAAACGGGGGGCTCCGGTCGAGCAGCAAGCCCCTGTACGCTGCTGCAGCTAATCAGCCGTACGGGCGCTGCAACCCCCAGCGCTCCCGTAGCCCCGCGGGAAGCGGGACGGCGTATAGGCGCCAGGGGTCTTAACGCTGAGAAAGCATCTTTCCTTTCCTCTTTGATGCACGTGCTCCAGACGGCAAGATATCTCGATGAGGCAAATAAAATTGAAAGTCAATCTCCTTAAGAGTCATTTCTTTACAATTTAGGAAAATGAACCGGGCTCTCTGTGGGGAAACCTCTCTCTTAAAACAGATCCGGTCAAGATTTAGATTTGGAGATGGCTCCATCGGTTTTTGTGCAGAGGAGTCTCCCAGATTTTACGCCACAGAAAATGAGTTCTACTTTTATACCTTGGAAAGCCATTCTTCTTTTAAAATTTCTGCAATCTCACATTCCTTCCTTTCAGGAGCCTTCTGAGTATTTTATGCAATAAAATGTTTTTTGTAATATTTATGCATACTACACAGCTGTTATCTTTTTCCACTCAAATCCTCAGAATTACTTAGTGCGCAATGTTTTTGCGAAGCGCGCCTGCAAACGCATCTTTTCTACGCGCTACAGAGACGGGCTGGAATCTAAGCAGACGCTAAGCTTTAGGGTTTTTTTTCCCCCCTCTGTTTTCAGACTGTTCACACATTTGGCCAAAATAATAGCCAGATGTTTTAGCCCAAGTTATCCGAATACCTTATTTCCTTCTCTTGCTAAAGCTGAACTCCAGACACGTGTCATGTACTGCTCGAAACTCTATGATTTCCGTCCTTTAATGCTGCTCTTATAAGCTCCCCGGTCACTCTGCTAGTGTTCAGAAAGCAACATTACTCCTTCAGGCAGGGCATTTAATACCACCCCCCCCACCCCATGCATTTTACCGTCAGCTTCTTTAAAACATCACCCACAGAGCTACAGAATATCAATGCCATAGCAGGGCGTCCCTTCAAGTGGCTCGGGATACGTTTTGGGCCACTTCCCCCTCACCTAGGAGGGGAGGGTGGCTTTGGAGCAGATATCTCACTGCGTTTTCAGGCCACGAGTCATTGATGGAAAATGCAGTCTCTTCGCTGTGCCCCCGCCTGGCTGATGTTCTCTATCAAACTGCATCTGCGCCTTGCCCTAAAATACAAAGGAGTTATATCATCGCTCTCTCCCGGTGCCAGCGCAAGAGCTCCTTGGAGAGTCTGGCTGCAGAGGGTGCCAAAAGAAAGTGCAATTCACACCCTCTCCTCGAAAGGGGAAGAAGTGATGAATTCGGCTCCAGCCTGCTGCCAGCTGCGAGCCCAGGCCAACTGGCTGGGAAAGTTTTCTAACTGTGATTTGTTTATGATTTAAGAGAACGATTGCTATTTCGTTTCTGGAAAAAAATCAAAGATAGACCAGCTAGTAAGCTATGTGTCATTCTGGGCTTCGTTAAAATACAATTTTATGATCTGTTTAACACAATAGCCTATCTAAACTTAACAGGGCGAATGAGCTGACCAAGCTATGGCTTGTTCGGCATCATTCATTTTTTCCTGTTTCATTTTAAACAATATTTCTCAAATCATAACAAGAGAGCTTGCTGCATTAGGCTAGGAACAATTTATGTGGCATATAAACTATCCTCTTTTTTTTTTTCCCCTTCAAAAAAAGGGGTGATTTTTACATTTGTTGTTTTTTAATAAGCAGGGATTTCTCCTTCCTAGTTTCCACAATTGCCAAACGAGTGTTGACTGGACCTTTCTCTGCTGCTTCCGGACCTGTTTGATTTCTAGGGGAGTGAAGCAGCCTAAAGCCTCTCCAAGGTTTCTTACTTCAGCCAAAGGACTCCTAGATCAAGGTCTGTGGCTCCAGCACAAACTCATTAATTGCACATAATTAAACAGCAATCACATTGATTTACCAACTGCATGTGGGTCTAAATATTCCCCAAATATATATGTGGGGAATATTTAGACTGTTACTGCAACTGCTAATTTATTACAGACAGTCTGAGAAATTTGGATTCTCTGGGCTATTACCTGCTCGCGGTACGCTGCAGAGGGGGCTCTGTGCAGGAGCAGATCCTTATTTAATATACAGCATTCCTTGCTCGCTTTTTCTTTTAAATGAAAGGAAGAACCTATCAGGTTCTTTTAAGTTAAGGCTTAAAGACACAATGATCTAAAATAAAGAGTACAGGTGATCTCAAAAAAAAAAAAAAATCAAAGCCAAGAAGGGCTGTCGACACATGGAAGAAGAGATGTGACATGTTTGACTCTCTTTGTAATTCTACTGCCCCAAAACCTATTAATGTCTCAATACTCCCACAACGGCAACAGTTCAGAGAGGAACTTGTTCCCAAAACATTTGATTTCGCAGCTGTCTAAATAAATCAGCTTTAACTTTTTAAGGAGAGAACAAGAGTTTCCATTAAACTTCAAAAAACTTTTAATTAGTTTGCAGTGGTTTCTTATATCCCCAGTCTGAGCATTTGAAAAACTATTCTTTCAAAAAGAGATCTAGACACAAGACAGGCACGCACTTGTGACAGATAAAGACCGCAGAGAAGTCAAGGTTTTTTTTTAAATTGTACGGTACAGACCTTCGGTACGTTCAGACCCAAGAACATACCTGCGATGGATTAGTTCAGAATAGAAAACGCACGGTGAGATGAAGGAGATGGCTTGGTTGGGTCAATAAACCACACTATTACAAATCTCCCCAGGAAACCCCAGCTTTCAAGTCATTTAGCCAGCGCCTCTGGCCACGTTCTCTCTGGATTATGGGTTATTTGAAGAAAGCCTGCTCTGGAGATACTTTAACGCTCAGTCGGGGCACTCAGCGGGGTCCCCAAGTGAAAGACAGAGCCAGTAAGAAAATGCAGGTGGGCTCCCCATCCAGCGCTCTCCTTCCACCCTCCACTGGGCCCGGACGCTCCAAAGGTGCTCACCACTACTTTGATTTTAGATCAGCAAGGGCAGCATTTGGCCACGAGATAGGAGCCCTTATTTTCAAGCAAAGTCAAAGCAAAAAACGGTTCCCAGGAACTCCGCTACCATTTAGGGTTATTGCCGCACCAATCATGGGGAACTCCACAAAAGAGGCTCTGGACAAAACTTGCTGTAATACCACTTGTCATGTCCAACAATAATTTTTCAAGTACTTCATAAAAGCAGAAAACACTGTCACTCCAAAGACGACTTAGAAGAAACCCTGCTCTGCCCAGGCCCCGGTAACACAGCCAGCGCTATATTCACTAGGCCGTGTTTGCCTCTGCACACAGCAGACCTGAATAATTCTGATGAAAAGTGATATTGTAGACTACTAGTTTATTACGGCAATAAATTTTAGCACTTTTTCCCCTCTGTATCTAATACGGGGGAAGTATAAAAGCTAAAATCCCTCTTCATCCATGCACCGGAGCAGGTTAAAGCTTCCCTTTATGAGAGGAAGTGTGATTTCAGTACATTTTTAATCCGTCCGACTAGGCTTGTTAGCAGCATCCAAAGTCCAAACATACCACATCAGAACGTTTTCCTGAGCTTTCAGGCTCTGTCCATCTCACAAGTTTTAATACCTTTATCGAGCGAAGCTCCAGCCATGTGGTAAAAGCTCAAAGCTGTGTCCACATCATTTATGTTCTTCAGAAACGTAAAGAAGTTCTCCACCTCCTCAAATGTCAGCCCCTACAACAAAGCAAAAGAGTAGGTCTTACAGTTGAGGAAAGCGCTCGGATTACAAACGACAAAGTAACTCAACAGCACGAAGTTATTTCAAGGGCTCGACCGCAGCACGTCCAGACATACTTGAGGTGGCCCGGCCATCCGATTAGCCATGGAAGCACATCCTGAGATGCCCTCACCCATTGCACTGCCATGTCCTAGCACAACTGATGGACAGACAGAAACACAAAGGCTCCATCATTGCAATGGTGATAAGCTGCACGCTCTTAATTGAGTGCATACAACCTGCGACCCTCCTGAGTCCCGTCGATGCAGGGTCAGCACCCAGGCGAGCACAAAGGTAGAGAGGTAGAGTAGGTGCTGGCAAGCTCTCCCCCGAGACCTGAGTCCCACAGCCCTCAAGTCCTGCCTTTAGCAACCCTTTTCCCCTGGCTAACACCAGCAGAACCGCATCAGTGCTCGAATAAGAACAACAGCTTCCAAACTTCAGCGTGAGCAGCCCTGAGCGAACACAGTGCTTGAGGCCACAGAGGATGTATGTCATCACCTGGGTCATCAGCACTCACACGTCCTCCTTGGAGCGATACATCAGCATGGCAAGATGAGTTCAAGTTCAGGCTCCTCCTGTCCTGTCTCGCAAGACAGATCAATACACCGAGACACTAAAAGTCTCATACATAATAAAACAGATTCGCCGTTTGAACGGAAGAAAACGCATTCAACTGGAACTGTCAAATATAAATTTATACGATCTACTGTAACCCTGCTCAGAGCAGTCCCAACAAATTCACCCTTTCCATCAAACCAGGGAAGAAGTGACCTATCACTCTGAAATAAAAAGCACCTTTTAAATCATCTTACAGAGACACAGCGCCTCTCAAGTTTTAAATAAGAGAATTACAGAAGATTTGCAATCTACTATGAAAGTATTTCAACCTGTTCCTACCTTCACTTGCAACGTGGCTCATACGTGTCTCACAGTATGCACGCTTTCAGCTAGTGCAACTGCAGGTTTTGCCACCGCTGGATTCATGAATCCAGAGCAAAAAGGATGAGTTGGCAAAATGCACATGTGGATAACATGCACATTAAAAAAAAAAACAAAAAAACCCACACATCACCCAGTTGCTGCTTGGAGAGCTTTCTTCAAGTGTATGCCTGCTGCACTCCCCAAGGTGCTCAGAGCTGAACTGCAGAATTAGCCAAAACACTGTCCTAGCAAAAAAAATATTGGGTGTTTCCGCACTGAGAACTGCAAAAAGGCCTCTGTTTTTGTGCAACGCACATATGAACAACCAAGATGCCTCCAAACAGGCGCTGACATTGGGTGGGATGTTCCTGAGGCATCTAGTGAGCTCTGATCTAGGGATGTTTCCCAGAAATTATCCTGTACCTTGCCTGAAACTATCGAAACTAGTGCATTTTAAACCTAGCTTTGTACCATTTACCTGTAAAAGAGAACGCTGCTGTTGCCTGCAGAACAGCTTTGGGTCCCTTCCCGACTTGCAACAGAACCAAAACCAGCCCCGAATTCACCACCGACGCCCAGCGTCCTGTGGCGCGAGGGCAGACGTTGAATGCTCAGCGCACGTCGACTCTCACGGGGCCTTGCACGGCGCTGCTTTGCCTCGCTGAAATACCTTCAACATGGCTAGGAGCTGGCATGGTAGAGGTCTAGCAGCAGATGGACGCAGCCAGAGGCCCACAACGGAGGACGGTGCCCAGGCTGCCTGGTGACGGACCTCGTGCCTCTCCTGCCATCCAGTATGAGCACCTACATGGATGATGGGACCCTCAAAAGGCCTTCAAGGAGTATCGCGATGACTCGATACACGAACAGCGTGGAATTACCAATACAAGGGCGGCAAAGACTTCACGCACGTTTGTTAAACACCGCCATATACCTGCAGCATTTAGTTACATCTCAAAAGTCAAAACGTATGCATAGAAATGAGTATGTTTTAGCAGGTTCCCTTTTATAACCGAGTAAAATGAACTGGATCTCCAAGAGAAAAGACCTTTGCAGTTCAGGTACCTACCACCCAAGTCCTCCCTGCTACGTGTGGAATTGAGATAATATATTTCCGGATGTCTGGGAGTAGGGTATGAAACAAAATTTGGAAAACCTGCAGGAACCAGAATTCATTGGCCACTTCAGGCTAACAGAAGAAACCATGCCCTGACTTATCTGACTGGCTGGTATGATCTGATAGCATTGACATCAGTTCCAGAGCTTTATCACTTCTCTACACAAAAGCGTGGGGTGACTTTTTTTTTCCGTTTTTTTAATTTTATGTATTTACAGATAAAAACGATCCCTCCCCCTTGCTTACTACAATTCGTTCAGTTTTGATGGCAGTCAGGTTGTCCAACAAGACTTGATAAACTAGCGTTAAATAAAGGGGAGGAAAGATTCATCTGCTAAAGCACTGCTTCAGGCTCTAAAAAGCCACTTTGCCGTGAAATAGCAAATATCAAGGGCAAACACAGCAGCGCTATTCATGAAAAACAGCCCTTGGTTTAGCAGCAATATTGCAGTGGCTCTTCTTTCAGCTTCTAGACGGAGACGGAAAAGCTTACTGCTTACACATGTAAGCTTGTGGTTCTTCTCACCAGCGGAAAAAACAAAAGCAATGACAAATGGAGGTATCTCACAAATCCAGGCTTTCATGCAGCCAAACGTACAGAATCTCTAGGGCACAAACGTCATTGGTATTATGAAAGCTAAGATACTGCTGATGAGTTCTGTAGGTCTGGCGTGAGCATTGACTCCTTTCCAATTACAAAAAAATCAGAGAGAGAACGAACCGCAGAACTGCACTGACAAATTGGTAGACGTGAATGATTTCCTTTATCAGGCAAAAGTTTTGATATGGGAATTTATCTCTTCCCTGTTGATGTGTTTGTCAACACTGCTCGGCTCTTCGTAAGTCACTCATGTCACTGCTAAAAGACCAATCGGTATTTTCTTCATAAGATATGGGCATGCGTTAACTAGGAATCTCAAGAAAATGCATTTCTGGAGAGGACGAGGATAGTGATTGAGAGATCAGGATGAGCGTTTCTTTCAAGGCATTTGCGATAGGTGATTTGAAAAAATATTTTCCAGATATAGCTGCAATACGGATGAATCTGATACAGTTCAGCATTATTTGTGCACACTGTTCTGTTCACAGAAAGGTGCTGGGGGAGGCATTTCTTCACTGTAAGCTTGTTTATAAGCAGGGAATGTGCAGAGGCTTCCCTCCAAAAACAACAACAACAAAAAAACCCTCACACACCAACCAACCAACAGCCCCCATCCAAATCCATGGATGTTCTCTCCCTTGCTCTGCCGTCATCAGAGAAACAAACCTGACGCTTCTTTTCCTGCGGCTTCAAAGCTGCACTGACTTGGCTGCTGATTCACAAGCCTGAATCCGTGCCCGGTGTTACCAGAAAGGTGAGAAGAAGTACAAGACATACCAGTGGGTTTGCCCCAGAAACACCCCTCTGATTGGAGCATGCACCTTAGGACGGCTCAAACACCATCTGCAACAGATACGGCTTTCCACCCGCAAACCCAGCGTGCAGCTGGAGTGGATTGCAACTCACTCCCACTTTCTGCGGCTTCAACGTGAAAATACAAGCTACACGCTTCCGGATGGCCAACGGCCTTGAAGCACATATAGAAGAAGACCTGAACGAATCGTTTCTGAAGATCACGTAGCGGAGGGCTACCAAGATGATTAGAGGGCTGGAGCACCTCTCCTAGGAAGAAAGACTGCAAGAGCTGGGCCTGTTCAGCCTGGAGAAGAGAAGATTGAGAGGCGATCTCACAAGAGGCAACGGGCAGAAACTGAACCACAGGAAGTTCCACCTGAACCTGAGAAAAAACTTCTTCCCTGTGAGGGTGACTGAGCACTGGAACAGGTTGCCCAGAGAGGCTGTGGAGTCTCCTTCCCTGGAGATCTTCAAAACCCGTCTGGATGTGATCCTGGGCAATATGCTCTAGGTGACCCTGCTTGAGCAGGGAGGTTGGACTAGATGATCTTCAGAGGTCCCTTCCAACCTAAACGATTCTGTGATCACCTCGGTTGTCTAGCGCTTAGGGAGACCTGAACCCGATATTTCACCTGCGGCTGCGACAACTTAAGTCCATTACCAGGAGAAAAGCAGCTGTGCAAGTGAAACTCGACGGAAAGGATCGTACGCAATTTTAAACAAATTAAGAGTGCGGCAGTGCCAAAGAACACGCCGAGTTCCTGCATCCAGGCTGAGGGGGGATTTTTTTCCCCTTCAAGAGAAATAAAAATTAGAGCAGATGATCAATCAGTACAAGAAAATATTCCTAAAAGCAGGAACACAGAATAAAATGATATTGGAAAAATAGCTGAAGATTAGATTAAAATCATAGCTTTAACCCTTTGGAAGCTGTCAAGATTGCCTTGCACATAAAGGATAACTCTATTGGACAATGAGGATGTTGTTTGGTGGATTTCATAATAAAACAGTCGCAGGGCAAATTGTATTTCCAAGCTGGATTAGAAAGCTTCCCAGATAGGTTCGGAAAATTCTACCTACTGCTGCCACCCCGCTTCCTACACCTCACCAATACAATTATTTTACTCTAGCTTCCTTTGGAAAGCAATAGCAAATCAAATTTCCTGCTGCTTGAGGTGCACAGTGCAGTTGCAGCAGGTTAGTAAACTGTGCTGGTAATGACACCGTATTGCTATAAAAGTAGGCTAGCCAAGTGTGAAATGAAGGGATTTGGAGGGGGGGGAAAAAAAAAAAATCTTCCTGCAAAGCACGTTCACGTTGTAAAGTGCTCTGATCAACACGGTGCTCAGCGACAGGAAATTATTGCAGCATAAACAGCGAAACGCCTGGGCGGCTTTAACATCTCTCTGAGGTCTGGGACGCAAGGGAAGAGCAGCGGATAGCGCTGGCTCCGCTCCCCTTCGCGGGACACGACTCGTGCTCAGCCCGACCCAAGCAGCCGCCCGCTCTGCAGATATCTGTCTCGGTTACAGTCACAGAGGAGGAAGCAATGGCAAAGCTTCTGGCATGAAGCTTCTGCAATGTCAAGCGCAAGACCGCTCTTTAGGTTAATACCATATTCATTACTCATTTACCAGGGAATCTAGGCAAGCGCTTTCCTGAGTAAACTATCCAGAAAGGTGAGTAATGTCATTCTGTCCATGGCAGCTTTATTTCTACAGAAATGGGAAAAAAGTAAACCACAAAAACATTAACAGCTGCAACAGGGTCATCCCAATAAAACCAGAAAGCATGTTTAGATACAAAGTGCTGTATTCAAACCTGCAAGGGATATTATATTCTAAAATACCCTAATGGTGGGCGGGGGGAACGCTTCTCATACAAAGATGATGCAAAGTTAGACACCGGACTGGATTTTCTGTGAGCTAAAACGTGCTGCAATGGATGATCTACCTGCCGCACTTCGCTAGCCCCCCACATAGTCATTGGCTTTGAAATGCCCTTGCTGCTAGAGGGTTTATCTGCCCCCAGTGTAAAGCAGCTGGTATTTTTTGCATCCTTTACATCGCCCTAAAACATTAAACACCTTGTACTTGCTAATAGAGTGGCTGCCTGATCTCAGGACTTTCGGTGTTTCATTTCACTCGGCCTAAGGATTACGTGTTTTCTACCAATTCTCTTTCTTGCAAGTGTCAAATTTGGTACTGTTCCCCAGTTTCTCTCCACAGAAGTCCTTGGAATAAAGAAAGAAAAAGACTGGTTATGAATCTGGTTGCCATCTACAAATAGAAATACGTTTTGGCAGATCTGTAACCTTTTGATTTTGGAGTAAGTAATACGGCAAAAGAAAAAAAAGTTCTTCTGCCACATATGTCAGGTTTTTGACTTACACATGGAAGGTGGGAAATATTTTCTGCAAGAAATCCCCCCAAAATAACTCCCTCTATCCAATTTCTCATACACCTGCCTACTGCTTTTTATTTTTACTTATATATACACACATATACATATAACAAACAAATCACAGCAGAAGACCTGATAGTTGGAAATGTAGCAATGACAGAGCTGCTGTCTTCTGCTAGACACGCACTGCAGTTACCAACTCCCAGGGCAGGCGAGCGCACTCTGGCACAAACTCCACAACATTTCCTTTTGGCTTGCTTACGTTTCCCTCCAGTTTTTAACTGGTTAGCTTTTGGCACTATTTGTCTTAAAGCAATGCGTCGGTACAGCACCGGAGTTTGGACTTCCACCTGGTGTTGGGACAGATGGAGAAGTTTCTGAAATACCGATACTGCTGACGGGGTTTCGCTTGCACCCCAAGCAAAATCAGCATTTTGGGGGTGTTCAAACACAAGGAGCCTCCGTGCTGTGTCAGGAGAGATCAAGGACTGACTTCAAAGCCAGGTAGTCAGTCCCCGAAGGCACTGAAAACCATTGCAGCTGGCAGGAGCACCATCTGGGCCTGAAGTGGAACGAGAGGGACCAAAACCAACTAGAATCTGGCCAGTTCTAATGTTTCCTACGATTTTTTGCATCTAAACCAATTAAGACATAAATGACAGTTCTGGTGTCACAAGGAAGTGGCTCTAAAACAGTCAGGCCTCGCCAACACATAGGCAAAGATCTTCCATCTGCTCTCGTTTTGGTTAATTGCTTGTTCATGACGTAGTTAAGAAAAGAACAATCCATCCTTATAGAAGCAGACACGAAATCCTAATACTGCAGTCATTTTGCACACTTTCCTTACCTGATAAAACACATCCTTTCAGTATGGATGCGTTACTCCGAGGTCTCTCACTAAATGAACTAGTGCAGAACCTGCAGCCTTATTCGCCTCTAAATCATGAGCAATTCAAATAATTTTTCATATAAGTTCATAACAATAACAAATTGCCCAGGCATGGCAGCTAATTAATCCAAGGTCACGCCAGCGACTAGGTACACATCTTTAATGTTTATCCCGGCTCCAGACCCAGAGCGCTGTTCAGCGAGCATCAGTTTTTAAAACTGCAGCTTCCATTTGAATATGGAGAAGCCCACACTCTGATCCGGACACCGATCGCTGCATTGCTCTCGCTTAAAGGATTTATCGTCTGCCAAGTCAGCACGTCTCCTTGCACTGTCTAACAAGGTGCAGGTGCTTTTCTTTAGGAGACAAAGATTGCTTAGTGCGGGGAAAGACCCTTGCATGTCAACCTACAGCTTAGAAGGAAAAACAGTTTCCTCATCTCAGCCCTATTCACAGTGAGGGCATGAAACTGCCCCACGTTTTGTCCATCTCTGCTATCAAGCATCATTCAACCATGCTTATGTTGGACGAGCCTGTGGCAATCGCCATCGGTGAAGGTTACTGAGTTTATTAGCTCATTTCTCAGCGCAGCGGGGGTTGGCTGCACCCAAACTTCCCAGATTCACTGCAACCACCACTGACCTCTCCGTCCTGAAAGTGCTTCTTGAGCTGCTTCAGCATGACGGTGAGCTTCTTGGACTGCACCCCGCTGTAAGCCAGCAGCATGCTGCCAAACTGGCGCTCCGTGATCCGCCCGTCCACCGGATCGTGCCGCTCAAACTGGAAGGGGAAAACAAAAGATGAAAACACTGTGCAGCAAAAAGCTCCTTCAACAGGAAGGGCATAAAAATATATATTAATAACAATAATAAAATAATGAACATCATCAGATACACTGCTCAGGAAGGACTCCTAACACATTTGAACGCTCGCTTCCGCCCCGGACAGTCTCCATCAGGAAGTCAATGTTTTCCGTACATGCTATTCCCTGGACAAGTTTTCAAAAAGATTTTGTATCTTGACCTCCCAGTTCTGTCTTCTAGAGGCACCGTATTTATAAAGCTGGGCTTGCAGAAGCAGGACGGCTATTTTAACTTGAAAGGAAACTAATGCCTGCAAAGAAGTGAAAAGAAAGAAAAAGTGTTCAGATGCTCTTTGCATGTGCTTCCAACTTGGATGTCTAAATGAACACCCAAAGGATTTGGCTGCTGCCGTAGCCTTGCTGATTGAGCCAAGGATCTATGCTGGGCTGAGCTGAGGTGCAAGCGTGCACTTCAAAAGAAGCACATACAGGAGCGGTCTGATGATCGCTATAAAAAGACCTGGGTGTTAATAAGCCAGGAGAGAAAAATTCTTGCAGAAAAACAGCTCTCATCAGTTTCTTCTGGCTCGTCTCTGATCCAAGCTCCGTACCAGCAAAGGAAGATTCACGCAGGTCTGGAGATTGCGCCTTCCCAAGCCCTAGCAAGTTCTCCTAGTCCCAAACCCCTTCAAGACTGTGATCCCTACGAACACTGCTGGAAGGGCCTTGCAAAACCTCCCGCAAGCCTTTTGGCAGAGAAAGACCTTCCCCATTGACCAATCTCTCCAGCATTCTGGTTTTTCTTATTGGAAAACATCCGATTTAAACTACAGCTGATCACAAACCTGGGAAAAAAAATTAAAAAAAAAATCACATTTAACAAAGAAATTCCCTTTTCTACTCCTATGGAACAACTGCTTTAGCTCCAGAATAACAAATGGATTTGACATCGTTTGGCTTGGTGAGTTAACCATTTCTACTTCTGTCCCATTTTTGTACTTAGTAACCCATCTAACACAACAGCCACCAATCCATCCAACTAAGAGCAAGGTGGGGGGTGCCGGGGAGATGAAAGCTAGCGGTGCGGCGAGTGCTGCTTTCAGACTGGGTGTAGACAGGTCATTACGTGCAGTAACGAGTCAAAATACTATATAAGTATCAATCATATGAAATTTAAAAAAATCAAAAACGGGGAATTAGTGTTCCTTATTTTGTGTTTTGTCTTATTTTAAGAAGAGCACCCCTAATATTAAAATAAAAAGCTCTCTCACAGATCCCCCACATCAACACCTGGCAATCAAGTACTATACTCCTATCTACACAGGAAGGCAGCCGGGTTCACAGCAAAGGACAGCCTAGAAAGACCGACAAGGGATTAAGTCGATGCGACTGATCAACAACCACCTTCACATTCAAACACAACCATTAAGGAGCTGCGGGAAAGCCAGCAGCCAAGCAGCCGTGCAACGATGGCAAAGCGTAAGGAAAGTTCAAACTTGGTTTGAACTAACGTCTGGTATGTTTACATTAATTCTGAAAGGGCTGAGCAGGGTACAGTATTTAAAGATAGCGCAGATGATGATACGATGCAAAATATATTTCCAGAGCACAGAAATTCTGCTGATTTTTTTTCCCTGATATGTTAGCACCAGCGATGCTCTGTAAAGAAGCTTGGCTTATGGTGACTTGCGTAAGAAAATCTTGTATTTCAGGTTCTAAAAAAATAAAATAAAATAAGAGAGAGAGGAAAAAAAAAAATCACGTTCATCTACCGTTAACACCTGCTTTCCCACCTACCTGTCTGGAAGCAGATGCACTAAAGCTGTTCTCTCCTGCCTCTCTCGAATGTCTTCTGGACAACTAAACCCGCTGTCTCAATGCGGAAATGAAGGAGAGCGCAAAGTCTAGGAGGTTTTTTTTCTTGCAGTATTCCCCGCACAGTCCCTGAATGATGCTAAATGTTAAAAATCCCTCAGCTATTTTGAAAGGCAGAATAAACAGTAGCGTCCTTTCCCAGGCCACTGTAAAGGGAGGCGATACGGGTCCTGCCACGGGGACCAGCCGTTTCCACCTTTTGATAGCTACCGAACCCGGCAACAGCACGCGGCTCGGTTTTGATATCCCCTCCTCCTCGTGGCTACCACCGCATTTCAAGTTCTCGCTCAGGCTTGGGACCGGTTTGTTTTGCGCGGCGTACGGAAAGCCCGTCTGCGTTCTCGCCAGCAGGAAAGGCGGCTCGGGCGCCTCCTGCACAGCTCCCACCCGCGGCCGCTGGGTGCCAGCAGCGGCCGCCGCGCGCGCCGCTGGGACGGCGGTCCCAGGTGGCCCTCCCACGAGCTGCGATGTGCTGAACAGACTAGCCCAAAATATAACAGGCACCTGGCTGACATTCGTTAAAAGCACCTACGTGTTTCTTTATCATCCTGAAAGGCAAGCAAGCTCCTCTCTAACTTAGCCTCCTGCGCGAAGAAACGACCCTGCCGTCTCGACGTCACGTTGGGGAGACAAACGCGACAGTAATTTGTTAAGAAGTTAAGTAGCAAAAAGACGTGCCTACGTATCGGGTCAGCTTCGGTGTCCGGAGGCAAAGCTTTATCCCGCGAGGAAAGCTAAAGGCGAATAAAAGGAGAGCCGTTTTCTCTGCTTCCTTAACCGCATAACTTGTCGTAGGACGATGACGTGAGAAGCCACCATAGAACGACAGCCTCGATATCTGCGGGAAAACAACTGTCAGCCTCTGACGAGCAGCCGGCCCGCACCGAGTCCAAGTCAGCACCGGGAGAAACGTCTCTATTCAGACGGCTGCAGCTTCCTACGGACAGACATCAGGGCTTTTCCCGTCTTTCCTGCGGCTGCCCCCAGCTGCAAACCCTGTCTGCCAGGATCCGAGGCAGCACGAGCTCTCAAACACACCCTCCAAAGGTACCAGCACCGTCACATCTTCAGGATTGGAGATGGCGCGTCCCAGCGCCAGGGCTGACTTGCCCTTCGTTCCGCTCGAGCGCGGCGGAAGGCTTTGCCTCACCTGCCACGCGCCACGGTTTCCCAAAGAAAATTTAACTGGTAGGTTTTAACTTTCCCCCTCCAGGGCATCCCTCCTTCAGGAAAAGGTCACGCTTCCGTTTGACTCTCCTCAAGGGAAGATTTGTCTTTCCAGCCGGCTCGTCGTAGCCGATGGCGTTAGAGAGACGCGTACAGGAAACGCCTCCATAAAACCGCAGCGTTGCAAACCGGTTTGCTCTGCCAACTAACCGTTGCGTTTCGGGCCTGTACGGTGCCTTGTTTCGCTCTCCTTGGGAAGAAGAAAGTTAGTAATGTAACTGTCGCCCTTCCGATGCTCGGGCTCGGCCTACGCTCAAAACGGCAGCCAAGATCCCAACGGCTCGCTTGAGCAAACAAAAGGAAAACAGAAGTCGTCCGATAGGCCTCTGAGCCTGAAGGAAACGCAGGGATCTGCGCAGACCCGAGGAGCGGCCGGGTTTTTTTTATCTTTGAGACACGGGCGTTTCTAAACCAAAGCAGTACGCTCTTCACCCGAAACAGCGAGAGCCGAAAGACGCGCGCAAGGCACAGGAGCGGGGAACGCCCGGTTGTAACGCGGCCCAGCATGCTGTAAACGCGCACCTCAGGTTTTTCCTAAAACGACACCCAAAGAGAAAGCGGTGACACCTCCCACGCTGCCCGCTGACGACCTGCCAGCTCCAGAGCTGAATGAAGACAGAAATGAAGCCTCCGGCCGGCGTTTGAGAAGCCGAAGGAGCTGCCGCCCTCGGCCAGCGCGCACCTGAAGCGGCGACGCGGACGGGAGACCGGCATGGACTTCTTCATTTGCAGACTACCACTATCTGCCATCGCTTGCGGTACGCGCTTCCTGGCACGTCCCTACTTCTCTTCAGGTCATACACGGCATCAGGAGGTCAAGGATGGAGGGAAAGGGGCTGGGGGGTCCCTTCTGCGCCGCCCCCTCCTCCCCTGGCATTTACGTACACCAGGGACTCGGGGACGGTTTACGGAGCTGTGAGATTGGGGCTGCGCAGCGATGCCCAGGAAGACGCAGCGGCCGTTCGAATCGAGTTCACGCTCTTGGAAATCACAGCGGCAAAACGATGGCACAGGCAAGGGCGTTACTGCTTGGGGTTTTTTTTAACGAAAACTATCACAGGGCTTTTAACGCCCAGCTGCAGTAGGCGCAGGAAGGCCCAGGAGAGCTTCGTTCAGTATCACTTCTAACGCACAACCCTTCCGGCAGCCCCGGGGCGGTAACTCGCTGAAGTCAGCTCACTTGGCAGTTTGGGACTTGCACTTATATATTCCACCAACTTCCCTCGACAAGAACACCAAAGCTAAGCTAGGCTGACGAAGCCGAGCAGCGATGCTCTGCCCCGGGCACGACGGCCGGCCGGG